TTTTTTTTTTAGTAAAATGAGAATAATTTATTCGCATTCGAAAAAATTGTTTCCGCGTATTTTTTAGGGTCAAATATTTCAAGTTAATGTATTCAAAAAGCAGGAATTGCTATTTTAAGAACGAAACATTTTCTTATTTAACAACATGGCGGCTTTAACTTTGTTGTTTTGGAGATTAAGATGGAGTAGTTCGAGTAGTCGCATACTGGACTAATAAAGTCGCAGTTCGGCCTTAACAGGTAGTATACTAGTCGCAAGATTGCCTAATTTAGTCATTCTAGAGTCTAGCTTGTGCCGCCCTCTATAATCTAAATAAACGAGGAAGTGTCGGTAATATATGTCGATGTATATTTAAATTTAGTTTTATATGTACCTTTCTTATGTCCCATTTTAATTAAGTTTTTTTTTTATAAAAACAAAAACAGCACTGAACTGTCTGACTGAACAGAACAATGAATTGAAAATTTAAGATTTAAGGTTATGGTTCAATACAGTTGCAAAAAGGTAGTGACTCTACGTCCTACCAACGTAAGAATAAGGAAATCTAAACAACGTTGGAATTAGTAAAACAGACGACGTTTGCATAACGTTGGAATAGGTCCTGAAACTGACGTCGGAAAACTCTATATTATCCAACGTTGTAACTACGTTGTCCAAATCACCTAAAGATCACTTAAGCAAAAAAGGTTACAAGACAACGTTTATTCGACGTCGCAGAAGCTTCTACTTTGCTGTAGTACTAGTCCAACGTCGGCACAACGTTATAAAAACGTTTAAATTTATTTTAATACCCAAGGTAGGGAGCTAACTATTTTTTGTAACTAATCCAACGTTGTGTTTAGTAAACATGTGGTCGCAAGTCGTGAAAATGCTACTTGGGAATCCTTTTCTCTATTTCTCTGCCGTCAGTTCCAGTGTTATCAAATGTAATTCCCAGGTACTCATACTCTTGACACTGATTAATTTCGTGACCGTTGTCCAAGTTCAAATTTCCTTCTTGTGCGCCTATACATAGATGTTTTGTTTTGGCTATGTAAACTGTCAAGCCCCATTCTCGGTATTCTTCAATAAGTTTTCTTAGCATATATTGCATATCATCTTTGTCATTGGCGACTATTATTTGATCGTCTGCCAATTGAAGTGTGAACAAACATTCATTGTCAATCTCTATGCCCATACCACGGATCTTTCTTTTCCAATTTTTTTCCAACAACCTTGACGCAAGCCTTTGTCGGTTATAAATGTTTCTGTAAGCTCTTTTCCTACCTTTATTCTTGATTTTGCGTCCTTATATAGTTCCTTAAGAGCTGTTATATAAGGATGGTTGATCGTAGATTGTTCTAGTACCTTCCGTAGTCTTGATATTGGGACAGTGTCGTACGCTTTCCGTAAGTCAACAAATGTTATATGTGTGTCCAAGTTTCTTGCCTATCTTTTTTCTATAACTTGTTTTAAACAGAACACGTTATCTGTACACGACCTTCCTGCTCTAAAACCATTCTGTTCTTCTTCCTCCTTTTCTCTATAATCTTCTTCTATGAGATCACGTAAAATTCTACCATATAACCTGCTCATTGTGCTCGTCACTGATATACCACGGTAGTTACTGCAGTCCAGCTTATTGCCTTTTTTATGGATCGGGGATATATAAGCCAGCTACCAGTTTTCTGGAACGGGATGTCCGTTTAAGCAACTATTGAAAATTAATGCCAAGCTTCTAAATAGTTTCTGCGTACCATTTTTCAATATTTCGGAGTATATTCCTTCTGGGCCGCTTGCTCTACCTGATTTTAAGTTCTTGGCAGCCATTCTTATTGTTTCTTCCGATATTTCAACTACTTCTCCCTGTACGTCGATGTTTCTTCGTGAATCAATCAAGACAAGTACTCTTGTCTAGATTGCTGAAGGAGGCCCTTATAAAGTTCGAACCATTGTTCAGGTTTAATTAAGTGTATATTAGCCTTGTTTTTTCCTGGGTTCTTAACAGCTGAAATAAATTTCCATATTTCTGAGCATTTTCTTCCACCTATGTAGTTATTAATTTGCTCACACTTTATATCCCATGCTTTGTTCTTAGCTCTGTTAATATGTGTCCTTAGATGCCTTTTTGAATTCTTGTATTCTTCAAGATCGCGTTCTGTTTTAGTAGATAGCCATTTCAGATATTTTTGTTTTTTTTTCTTGGACATAAGACTCCATCTCATCGTTCCACCAGTATTTCTTGTTGGTAGAGTATTCTTTTGTTCCTACTGCTGCTATGGTAGCGGCAATTAGACTACTTTTACCCAAGTAGCATTTTCACGACTTGTGACCACATGTTTACTAAACACAACAATGTTTACTAAACACAAACTGTATTGAACCATAACCTTAAATCGGACCACCCTGTATATACAGGGTGTCCCAGAAATAAATGCAAGTATTTTAACAGGTTGTATAGTTCAACCCCAGAAACACGCCTATGAGGGTTTTTTCGCGAAAAAAAAATTGAAAATTCGGAATTTTTTGGAATTCTTTTAGTCAAAAAACATAATTTCTTGATAATACAGCACCATATATAGGGAGTATATTAAATTTACAAGAAAGAAAATTCCGGAAAGATCCAGTGGTTCTCAAAATTTTAGCAAAAAATAATTTATTTTGAAAATTTTCAAAGTAAATTAACTCCGTTATTTTAAACTTATTTGAGAAATGATAAAGAGAAAATAGGTTTCTTTTGTCGAGATCTACCACCCCTTAAAATACTTGCACTTATTTCTGGGACACCCTGTATATCATTTATATTAAACAATGTTATGAGAGAATTTCTCATATTCTTGAGTGCATAAGCAACATTACCACGTAGTACTTAAATAAAACATAAAAAAGAAAAAGTAGAAAAAATCAATTGGAAAATTAATTCTGATGCACGTACACTGCAATAACCATGCATACATAAATAATACATTTTAATATTTGAAAATAGAGATTTTAAAGTTTCAAATGACAAAATACAGATATGTACTAAGAAATATCAAATTTTAACTTGATATATTTTATAAATATGTTAATATGTTGCTGAAGGGGTTTTTAGCATCAAACATATTTAAAAAAACACTTTTAATTAAAAAAAGGTAAAGAAGTTAATTTAAGAAAAAAAAAATATCGTATGGAAACATGGAAACAATATAAAATTTCAGTACGCTCCAAAAAATATGACGTAAAAGTTTTTTAGCAACGAAATGAGTGCGATCTTCATTTAAGGCTAATTTACAAGAATCCAGTAAACAACACTGACTGAATATCAGTGAAACTGGCGCCATACGTGTAAATCAGCCTTTAAGTCAGGGCCTATTTTTCATCTGGTCGGGCCCTAAGGCCCAAGCAAAAATTCGGGCCCTTTTTTCCAATAAAATTCAAAAATTATGAATATTTTACAACCTTTAACGGGCCCCCCAGACCACCGGGCCCAAGGCCCGGGCCTTATGGGCCTTATGGTGAAATAGATTGGTACAGTGGCAGAATGGTATGAAACACGTTTATTATAAATAGATGTCAGCGCAGAGTCTGAAAGTTATTAGTTATATAAAGAATATGTTAAATGTTTAATTACAACATAGAAATAATAATTTAATTAATTACAAAAATCATTTCTAAACAAAATACAAGAAATTTGAGTAGTTGATAAAGTTGACAAAAACTTTACAAGCAAACAACTGTCACTTTCAACGCAGTTTGTGTAGATATATAATTTCAGATGGGCTATTATGTGTATCTCTAAAGTTTTTTAAAGTGACAATAGCCGATCATTGGTGGTTTTGTTAAATTTTAACTCCCTATAAAAATAGTTTCTAAGGATTCTAAACGAAAAAACAAGAACATCACTACTTCACTATTGTAACTCTTGCGTCGGGCATCTATAATAGCTCCTAGAATAAAAAAAACTTGGGAAGGGTAAAGTAGTACCTAATACATACTTGCTAAAGTATGTTTTAGGATTTATTTCAGGAAAATATTTTATTTTCTATAGGGTGGCGCAAAAAAGTGTGAGTGTATCGGGATGATTTTTTTTAAATGGAACTCCCGTATATTATTGCATTTTTGGCTTCCTTTCAGATCACTTCACATAATCCTAAGGTATGAGTAAATATATTTCGGTTGTTTCAGAAATATTAATAAATAAATAAAAAATATATGTTTTTCAGCCTTTCTTAAAAAAAATATTAAAAATACAAGAAAGGTACAAATCGAATACAGTACCAAGGTAAAGTAAATACCTAATATAATTTTGATTTCAGAACAATTCTTGTATTTTTAATATTTTTTTAAAGGGCTGAAAAATATATATCTTTGATTTATTTTTTAATATCTCTGAAACTATCGAAATACATTTACCCATATCTTAGGATTATGTAACGTGATCTGAAAGGAAGTAAAAAATGCAATAATATACAGGGTGTTCCATTTAAAAAAAATCATCCCAATCCATTCACACTTTTTTGAGCTACCCTATAGAAGTTAAATTATTTTCCTGAAATACATCCTGGTACATACTTTAAGTTTGCACTTAAACAAAATTCTCAAGTTTTTAATTCTAGGAGCTACAGAGGTCCGACACACTATTGCCGGACCCTGTATAAAAATGTACAAGATTCCATTTAAAATTTTTCGCTGTCCGGTTAAAGCGGAAATTATATTCTATTGTTTGTAAAGAGAAATATGAATTTTGATCATTTATATCTTAATCCCAATTTCCAAATGTATTCGCTACAAATCAATCAAAGAGCGGATTGTGCAACGATTTTGTTATAACTTTTTTAAAAATAGTATTAATAAACACGAGAAATAATACAAAATTGAGTTTCAAAGTACTGTACAAATATATTTATAAAAGTACGTTTAAAAATATATGTATGTAAAAATTCAGTCTTTTTACTTAGTTCGGATCTGAATATGCCATGCTTTGACTAATGTCCTTCATAAAGTCTGATTTACGCATACCTAATATATAAGCCACTCTACAACCGTTTTAAGATCAAGACAACTTTATTGGTACCATTTCGTAAATTTGACGGCAGCATGAAATCTTCATTGGCTTTGCTGGTGGTCGTGTACCTGATGCACACGTCTATGGTGGTCCTCGAGGTAAAGAGTGCTCCTTTCGGTTTTGGATTGGTATGTTGAGATGATTTAAATTTCAAGTTCAGTTGATAGATAAAGCTTGTAAATATTCAGTTAATTTTTTTACCATTTAAAAAACGTACAGAGAAGACATTTCAGAAAATATATTAAAAAAATTGAAAAATTACCTATTTCTATAAAAGAACAAACAAAATTAAAAGAAAATATCCAATAAAATTCGTTAAACAATAAGATATTTGATTAATTTTCTTTATTGAAGAATAATTATTTTGACTAATGTGACTATGTTTATTAATTTGTGATTTTTAGTTTATCCTTTAATTACATTTATTATACAGGGTGGTCCGAAAACTTCGGCAGCATATTGTGCAGATAAAAATAAGTAAAAAAGTTCGTATAAATGTATGTCCTAAAATGCTTAGTTTCGGAAAATCGAGTTAAAATCGAAATAAAAATACACCCTGTATGGGTGTATTTTTATTTCGAGTTTTTCCAAATAATTTCCGAATTAACGTCAATATTTGGATAAAAGTTGGTGTTTGGGCTTTTTTTGACATAATAAATTTGATTTTGATGTTAGTATAATAGTTCAGTCATTGGGGATTAAAAAAGGGGCCTGCTTGGAAAAAAGTCCGGAAGTTTTGAAACTTTGCAGGTTTATAGGTTTTGGGGTCCCTAACTAAAATCCATAAAATGCACATTTCCAGACTTGCCGCCGGCGCCGCCATCTTGCCAAGATGGCGCCCAAAATCGGTATTTTGTGAATATCTCAAAAACTATGCGTTTTTCGCGAAAATTTGAGGAGAGAATAAAATTTCCTATAAAAAAGGTTTTATGAAAATTTTCGCTGAAGTCAACCGTTTAGGCACAAAATCATTGGAAATTTTACAATTTTGCGTAAAATATGATATATTATGTATAGTCGATTTTCCGAAATCAAATGTCGATTAGGGTTCACTAAAACTAGTTTTAGTTTAGTTTCTTCAATTTTGTCATGAAACAGTGGCGTATCATTAATTCGCTCGTTAATTTATGAATAGTTAATTGTCGTGCTGGACAGCATTCATTGCGAAACTTACCACCAGGTTCAGCATTGGTCTGGTTGTACCACCAAGATGCCGTAGAATGGGGTCAATCACGACGTTAAAAGATCCAGCTCCAAAATCCCTGTTGGCATTTTTATCCTGTAAATGCAAAACCAACAACTATGGTAAAGCCTGCGAATGCAGAAAAGCAGGATTAAAATGTTCAATGATTTATGCATACTGCAATGGGAAATCCTGTGACAACGACACTGAAGTGTCACTCGACGAATCCGATGAAGAGGAGTTGGACTTGCCTGTGGCAGCTGAAGATGAAGAGTTGGACGTATTGAGAGACCACCCCGATGAGCCCAGCACAGCAGACAGTATCGACTTTGACATCAATGAGCCAGATCCGTCGGGCTTTTAAGTTTTTAATTTAACTATAGTGGAGTAGGCCTCTGGGGAGACCACGTTAAAATAAATGCGCCATATACTTTACCTCTTGGGTGGTGTTGAAACAAGTATACATTTTCAATAATTAAAATTAATTATTCATAAATTAATGAGCGAATTAATGATACGCCACTGTTTTATGACAAAATTGAAGAAACTAAACTAAAACTAGTTTTAGTGAACCCTAATCGACATTTGATTTCGGAAAATCGACTATACATAATATACCATATTTTACGCAAAATTGTAAAATTTCCAGGGATTTTGTGCCTAAACGGTTGACTTTAGCGAAAATTTTCAAGCTTTATTATAGGAAATTTTATTCTCTTTAATTTTGATCTCCTCAAATTTTCGCGAAAAATGCATAGTTTTTGAGATATTCACAAAATACCGATTTTGAGCGTCATCTTGGCAAGATGGCGGCGCCGGCGGCAAGTCTGGAAATGTGCATTTTATGGATTTTAGTTAGGGACCCAAAAACCTATAAACCTGCAAAGTTGCAAAACTTCCGGACTTTTTTCCAAGCAAAAATCCCCAATGACTGAACTATAACTCCTACTTGTAGAGGGTGCCACCTATATATTTTTTAACTGGTTTGAAAAGTAATAACTTTTCGTCCGTACCTGTATAAAACTACTGGTTAAAAAATATACAATTGCTACGTTTTTTACGTAAAAAAGGTCTCTTGGTAAAAACTGCTACGAGTAATGGTTTTCGAGATATTGGAAACCGAAATTATCAATACCTGTCATCATATTGACATAAATTAAACATGTTCACTAAATAGTTATTATATACCGTATGATCGAAAAAAAATGGCGTCCAGTTGGCTGGGAAATGACAATCGATGACATTTCCCATATAAATTTACATATAAAATGACAGCGATCTTCATTTCATAGCCATCGCTGACGCCGTTTTTTCTCGATCATACGGTATATAGACTGAACTCATAAATTTGAAATATTTTTGTGCCAAAAGTTCAACAGCACCTGTTTTATCACTTTAAAAAAGGATTTAATATTAATTTAAAAAAAAATAAAAAATTCCCAAATTTATTACTTCAGTCAAAAACACTATCTACTCCACATGTTTATTTTTTGTCATCAAAGACATGTATTGACTCTTTTCATACTAAATATCTTGAGAACGGTTGCTTATAGCGATTTTTACCAAGAGACATTTTTTACGCAAAAAATCACAGAAATGTATATTCTTTTACTCTGTGGTTTTATAAACAGTACGGACGAAAAGTTATTACTCAACCAATAAGTAATAGGTTGTAGCTTTAATTCTTAAAATACACATTGGTGGCGCCCCCTACAAAAAGGAGTTATATTGACATCAAAATCAAATTTTTCACGTCAAAAAACTTCCAGACACCAATTTTCATCCAAATCTTGACTTTACTTCAAAAATTATTTGGAAAAAATCGAAATAAAAATGAAATTTCTACACCCTGTATCTCCGAAACTAAACATTTTAGGACATGTCATACATTTACATGAACTTTTTTACTTAATTTTATCTGCAGAATATGCTGCCGAAGTCTCCGGAATACAGTTCAGACCACCCTGTAAATAAGTGCCAATATTTTCAGGGCTGGTAGTTCTCGATAAAAGAAACATATTTTCTCTTTACCCTTTTTCACATAACTTTAAAATATCCTTTAGTTATCTTACTTTCAAATTTAAAAAAAATGCTTAAATTTTGAGAACCAGTGGATCTTTTCTTCGTTTTCTTTCTTGTAAATTTAAAACTATTACCTATATTACGAAATTATCACCATATTATATTTTTTAACTAAAAACTTAAAAAAAAATCCAAAACGAATTGCACCTTTCTTTTTAAACTCACCCAATGAAATGAATGATTTCACACCACAATTTCTAATAAATAAATTATCGTTATTGACATATCTATTGTGTTCCCTATCCTTGAATTATAAGTCATCATACAGTCTCGGGGCTTTGACAAAAGCTAGTCTTTGAGACGGTTTTACAGAGGTTAGTTCTTCATCTTTGATATAAGTCGTACCAAATTTTTAGTTTCTAGCTCGATATTTTTCTATGGATATGTCGTTATTCTTATTATACGAGAGAAATCTTGAAGACGCTTCTCAGGCTACCATTATTATGAATGACCTTTTTCATCGTTTTATCCACATTTGACTGTAAACTATTAGACACCTGAGAAATTGCGATGCTGCCAATATGTGCTCAGCGCGTATCCAGAAAACGATTCGCACGACAACGAGAATACTAAAATCGACTGCTTGGCGTTCCGCTAATCGAGTACTTTCGCTTACCGCTTTGAAAGCGTAACGTTTTTATGTCAAAGTCCCAGAATTCGGGCCCTGGTTTCCCCATTTTCGCCGTTTTTCTTATCAATCTATTGAGGTGTTATTTGACGAGACAGTATCCTGTTAAAAACCCCGTAATAATCTGAAGATTATCCTTACTTAAATCTAGGAAAATCTCTGATTGTTGGTCCTAAGTCCTGAGAGATGTGTTCGAGTGTCCGTGTAAACCGTTGGAGAATTCCCAATCCAGGTTACGAATGGAGTCTTCCAGATATTCTTGACTTCTGCTTTAAGTTGGTTTCCATTTGGGAAGCAATTCTGGTCCAGTTAGTGGTGTGTTCGCTCCTTTTCTAGCTAGGTCGTTTGCTTTTTCATTACCTTCTTGGTTTTAAGCTTGCACCCCCAGTTGGAGGACTTTATTAAGCATTCTTTGACATCTAAGCGCACCTTTACCAACTTCAAATGGATGGTTACTGAGTTGATCGCTATTGATGCTGCTTGATTTGGTATCGGATCAGATGGCTATTTCTTGTTTCGGATAGTTCCTAAGATAGGTTGTACGCAGCTTTTGATAGCGTAGATTTCTGCCTGAAGGATGCTGGTGTAGGTTTCCAAACCCATTGGTTTGGAGTATTTAATTTTCGGCCGAAATACCGTATGATCGAAAAAAAACGGCGTCCAGTTGACTTGGAAATGACGATCGATGACATTTCCCATATAATTTTACATATAAAATGACAGCGATCTTCATTTCATAGCCGTCGCTTACGCCGTTTTTATTCGATCATACGGTATATATAGACCCAGTATACCACGTTATGGTATGGTCTTTTAGCTACTGAGCATAAGTTCTGGTTCAAACATTTCAAGTTTCTGCCTTCTTACAGAGATGTGTTTCTCATAGTTGTACATTTTCTTGGTATTTCATCCATTGGGAGTTTGAGGAGTGGTATGATACATTTAAACTGATGATCGAATATTTTTCTTTCGCTAATATTTTTAACATTCAGACTCTTTCCACTACCTGCATGTTTACCGATACGTCCACACTGCAACGTTTCTAATCGTTAACGGCTGGCATTTTTCTTTGATCTATTCACTTTTACGGCCAGAAGATGGTAAGCATTCGTTCGCGTTGAACCCATTCGTCGCGCAGTATAATCGCTGCGAATGCACGAATACGCACACCTGAAGAAAAATTTCCTATTTTTCTTCAGGTGTTCTGTTTCGGTTTCTTCAAAAAAAATTTATTATATTATTTTGTTAAAGTATTGAAGTAAAAAAATTTCTAGTACTTGTTGCAAAAATTTGCAAAAAAATTACTATTGCAAAAATTGCTGTTATTGCTTGCTATTGCAAAAATTGCCGTATTGAGTATATTACAATATTTAGATACAAAAAATAATGACTAATTATTCTTTTTATTAATACTTAATTTATTTAGTTATGTGATGATTATGAAGACTTACTGTGCGATTTCTTTGACATGTGCGAAGATGACAGCGATGAAACTACAACTCCTCCTCCTTCTCCTACAACAAGTAAGTATATTTATTTTATTAAAGACTTTAAATTATTTTAGTATATTGGAGTTTATGTAGGTACTTTTTTTTGGTTGAGTATAATGATGTACTAATATAGATTTGAATAATAAAAAAGGAGTCAAGTTACTGATAATAATGAAGAAGTGTCCACTATAGTAAATTAAGTTATAAATTTACCGCTGTAACTTATACTAGCTTGAATATTTAAAACTACAATACAGCACTTTCTTCACGTATAAGTTTTAGGCTCGGTTTTAGGTTAGCAACTAATTATTAATATTTGCTAGGTACTGAAAAACCATCCCCGTCCACACAGTCTTCTCCAATAACAACCATTACAACTACAGTGAATCCAATAACTACGACCACTGTAGCGCCAACGACTAGTGTAGCGCCAACGACCACTGTAGCGCCAACGCCGTAAAATTAAATAAAGAATACAGGATTGTAATCACGTTACGAGATTATACAGTTTGTTGCATCGCACCTATTATAGGAAACCATAGGAAATCCCATGTAAATTTTGAAAATGATGATAAGTTTTTCCCACTTTATTTTACAGAAAAGTTTATTTGAAACTTTTTGTTTATTTTTAATAGATTCTACGAATTATTTTTGGAGTTATGAAAAATATAAAAATACCAAATTTAATTGAAAAATAATCCTGTCCTGATTGGACATCTGTTATTGTTGCCAAAAATAATTAAAAAAAAAACATTTTTTAATGCTATATTGACTTTATACGTACCAAAAATAATTTGTAAATATGAATAATTATATACAACAGAAGAATAAAAATAGTTTAGTGGTATTCTGGTGGGAATAGTTTACAAACTGTAAATGATTTATTTTCTGTATATTTTTCAAATCGACCAGAACAGTAACGTTTAAGTATATAAAGGTTCCAACGAAAAATTCCAACAGGAATATTTATTAAAGCCGGTAAATATAAAAAGAAGAATACATAATATTGTGGCTAATCACCGAGAAATAATAAATGAATTAAATGTTCTGGTTACAAGCAAAAGATGAAAAACAAGTACGAGAATACTTGGAGAAATGGTCGAAAAATTTCTTGCCACTGCTTGGCGAATTTTTAAAATATTCCGAACCCCAATCTTTGGATTTTTATATCAATTATTGGACGGGTGTGAAAAACGTAGTGCAAATTTTCTCCATTTTATAATTAACAAATATTTAATTTTTTGAAGTGATGAGTGTTTAATAAAATACATTTTCTTTTGAAGCAGTGTGTTGTACTTATCAACTTATCTACGAAATACATATATTTTTTTAATTACATTATGTTTATATTGTACTTTTTGTAATAATTTATAGAGAATATAACTTAAGCTATTTTTGACAGATCTCTGTATAAACAATAACATAACAATAACAGATTTGTCATATTGTGACATAACTTGAAATTATTGTGTTTGTTTAATCAGGACCCTGTTATTTTAAATTATCGCCTAAATTAGTATTTTTGTGTCTCTCATAACTCAAAAACAAATTCGTATGAACTATTTAAAATGAACAATTTGCTTCATTTTAAAGATTTTTTTAAAAAGTTTTAAATAAACTTTTCTATAAAATAAAATGGGGAAAACTTTTCATAATTATTTTTAAAATTTACATAGGATTTCCTATGGAATGAAACGCGACGATGCAACATATGGTATAATAATTATCGTTAAGGAATAATGAGTTTTTTGCTTTTTTATTTGTTATATTAGATTTGTTTGTATCTGTAATGTAATGTAATTCGTTTCATATTTCCGTGAAAAAGATAATATAACCCCTACCAAAAAGTGGGCAAAGATTTAAAATAAATGGAAATAAAAGCTTCAAAGATATCGTTATTTTCGAGAGGTGTCTCACTGTTGCAATTACATGTATATTTTTTTGGCAGTCGTTGGCATCAGTCGACAATAATCATATCGCAGGCATAGGCAGACCCTTGGCAGTAAAATGATATTTTTGCAGTACATGTCTATTTTTTGCCTAAGTGAGACACCCCTTGGATAGATGGTACATTGGTAGTTTTGTCGAAATTTTACGTTAACAACAAGAACAAAATTAAATTTCTTAAGAAAAAACTTGATGCGTTCTTTCTATCCGATAAGGCTCAATTATAGTATTGTATTAATATGATAAGAAGTAAAATAAAAACATTATGTCTGCTTTTTTAATTGATAAGTTGCCGTTTTTTTAATTAAATCAATTTTATTATTATGGTAGTCTCTACATCTGTTTCTCCTTTATGCTTCCCTTTCCCTATAAGCCGCACGCCCGTATTTGTAGTTTACACGTGCATTTGGGTATTATAAATGAGTGCAAATATTAGATGTAACAACGAGGGCTTGGTACACTGGACAGGCAGTCACTGGAATGCATCTAGTATAAAAACAAATATATGTGGGTGAAAATACGGACTTGTAAAATATCACGACAAACAACTAAAGCCTTTTAGCATATTTGAGTTGGATATTTAAATTCCTCAACCAGTCTTTTGCGTTTCCCTTGAGTTGATGATGATTTTGAATAGAAGCGTCGTATTTTCTTATCGGGCATTCTAAAGCGATATGTTGTGGCATCTATGAAGACTTGCTGCAATCGCAGTCTGGTGAGTCAGTAATTCCCCATTTATACTTCCAATAATTGCATCTATCATGGTGGGTTTGGATTCAGTTAAGCGTTGTGTCTAGTTTTCTAACTTTCTCCTTCTTTATATAAATGTATGTCCTAAAATGCTTCGTTTGGGAGATACAAGGTGTAGAGATTAATTTTTGTTTAGGTATTTTCCAAATAATTCACTTACGTCGATATTCGGAAGAAATTTGGTATCTGGGTGTTTTTTTCTAATGAAAAATTTGATTTCGATGTCAATATGACTTGTGAATGTTTTATGAATTTTTCACTCGAAACTACTGAGTGAAAAAACATACATTTCCGCCATTTTTTTACGTAAAAAGGCTCTTGATGAAAATCGCTACGAGTAACCGTTCTCAAGATATTTGGAATGTAAAATATCAATACATTTTTGTGTTAGCATTGACAAGAAATAAATATATTGACTAGATAGTTATTTAACAGAAAAGATAATTTATTTAACAGAAAAGATAATTTATTTCATAAATTAATCATAATTTCGTCTAGAAAAAAATTATGATGCAACAGTTTCTGAGGAACCTTTGGCACAAAAACAATTTAAAATTTATCATTTCAGTCTAATAACTACTTTGTCACCACGTTCAATTGTTTTTAATTATGGCATGTATTGATTATTTCGATTTCAAATATCTGGAGCAACATTGCTCGTAGCGATTTTTACCAAGAAACCGTTTTTATGCAAAAAACGGTGACAATGTGTATTTTTTCACTCAGTACATTCATACTGGTACGGATGAAAAGTTATTACTTTTCAAACTGGTTAAAATATATTTAGGTGGCGCCCTTTATAAGTAGGAGTCATATTGATATCGAAATCAAATTTCCCGTGTCAAAAAACTCCCAGAAACTAATTTTTATCCAACTCTCGACGTTATCATAGTTCAGAAATTATTTTGAAAAATCGAAATAAAAATGAAACTTCTACATCCTGTATGTCCGAAGCGAAACATTTTAGGACATAATATATTTATACTAACTTTTTTTTATTGATGTGATCAATCAAAAAATATTGATGGTCTTTGGCAGTTTCTCGCAGCCATTGGCAGTCATTGGCAGTCACTGAAAGTCGCTGCCAGACGCGTGTAAAATGATATGTTGGCAGTAAAATAAATAGGGCACAAAAAGTAGATATATTTTTTAATATAAAAACTAATACCTTGTAATTAATTATACATCGAGCAATAATGGGCACACTCATTGAATTTGTGTACTTTTGTGCTTAGGCATATTAAGTACTTTGTACTAAGTCCTTTACTGTTCGCCTAGGCGCTAAAATTATCTTTTTATGTGAGCAATCACGTCGTAAAATCAATAATTACTAGACGTTTGAGAAAAAAAAAATTATATAAATTAGCGTTATCTGTACAGGGTGTCCCATTTTGGTTGAAATCATACGGTCTCTCCGTTATTAATGCGAAGATAGAAGGATGCGGTTTGAACAAATCAATCTCTTTTTATATCCTTTTTTGTCAAGCGGACGATGCTATAAACCAAATTTTTATAGCTAATATAAAATTTTTCAATATACAGTATGTCTCCGGATTGTCTTTATAAGAGGAAAAGCTGTTTTATTATTGACATTTTGAGAAAAATACATTCTTCATTAAAATGTTTGCTTGTTCTAAATAGGTTAATCCCATTTATACTTTTCCAAATTTCCATACCGTTTTAGAGAAAATTGAGAAAAACATAAAAACATAGTCCTAAAATCAAAACGCGTAGAAACGCTATTAGGTACCATAGAAATGGTAATTTCTATTTTCCTTTTTTGATAGATTGTTATTTTTCTTGCTGTTTGACATAGTTAAAGAACCACAAATTTTTTTTTGGTCAATGCTATGGAAAGGGTGATATTATTTATCGGAAAACGAAATACTTTAACAACGGCAAAAAATTTGACGTTAATCAAAATTAAAAATAACCATCTATCAAAGAATAAAATCGAAATTACATATATTAACTCCCTATAGAAAAACCCTCTAATTTTTAGGACATCAACCATATTTTAATGTTTTATTTAATTTTCTCTCAAACGGCATGGAAATTAGGAAAAGCATAAACGGGGTTAACCATTTTAGAACAAGTAAAACTTTTTATAAAGAATGCAATTTTCCCAAAATGTCAATAATAAAAAAAATTCCTCTTGTTTTTTCCCTTCGTTTATTTGATATGAACATAGTTAAGGTGCCCGGTGGCGTACAGGCTCTCGTCTACCAATCTCAATGTAGTGGGTTCGAAACCCACACCCGGCATTTCATCAGCAGACTATTTTTATTAAAATAAAAATAGTTTGGGTACCTAGGTGGACTCAGCCTTAAATGAGTACTTGGGATTCACAATTCTGAGGTAATAATTTGAGGCGTAGTCTGAGGCGTTTGAGGCGTAGTGCTAGCCACCTTACTTTCCTTCGTATACCGAACGGCTCTCAAGGCGTCAAACGCTATATACGGAAGCTGTTATTATAACATAGTTAAGGACTTATTCTTTCGTATTTATCATATTTTTGCTAATATTTTTGGTTTAAAAATCATTAATATACCAAACTGCATCTTGTATATCAAGTATAAAACCGCATCTTGAATATCAAGATGCGGTTTTTACTGACATTTTAAACTTTTAGTCCTCTTTGTGTCTTTACTATCAAAGAAAATTACATATAAAGTTCACACCAAATAAACTTTTAGTCACGTGATTAAGCTTGACCGGCACAGCCTTGCCCACTTTTATATCCGTATGTTCTTTTTTAATCAAAATATTTTAGGAAACAAGAATAAATTAATTATAAATATATAAACAGTTATTATTTACATCAACAAAACTCTCCTTAACAGCACTTAATGACCATAAAGGGCCATTACTACCGCTTTCCTGTTCAAAATATTCTAATAAAGTTGCGATGAGTTTTTTACGGCTATTACGCCCTTGAACTCCAGTAGCTTGGACTGCAAGGTCCGCTAGTGAACATTTTTAAGCTTAAAGTATCACAACACTATTTATTTAAACCAAAAACTGGTAATACAAAACTAAAGTGTCAAAACGAATGACAAATATCACGAAACAAATAAATAAATCAACAACGGCAACTTGGCGTTTTTTACAGCAGAGCTACCACCTGAATCCCCAGCGGGAAATTTAAATTCCAGTTAGTCAGCACGGCGCCGAATATGTTTATAATTGGCAATAATAAATTTAAAAATCGCGCCCTGGATTACGTAACTAAAAGTTTAATTGATATCAAATATATGTACTTATGCATTTAAATTTTTAGAAAAATCGCTCAATTTTTGTTGTAAGACAGCGCCCTCTAGCTTCTACGGTTAAATGCTTGTTATTACTGTGAATTACCCATTCTCGAACACTCACTAACATTTAAATAAAAACAGATCTAACCTTCCCCCCCACTTCATTTTAGTATAGATAGGGCAAAATTGTTTAAATAAAAGAAGTCCATAATTTGCTTAAGCTTAATTAAATTAAGCTTATTCGCTATTTATATTACCCCTTATCTAGATAGAATTTTGTAAAAATTTAATTTTCTTATTTAGCAATTACATAGCAGTTGCACCCTCTATAGCGTCCGTTCTACAAATTTGAAAATAATTTCCAATAAGTTCTTACAGCCCCTTTAGTTATAAATATTTTGGGTCAACTTTCGTTTAGCTGAAATCAGTTATTAGAAAAAAAAATTTTGTCTTTAAAATGCCACTGTGAACCAGGGAAAACACAAATTTTCCTGCGGAAATGCGTAATTTCCAAATTTCGCACTTTAGAATAACTGAAATCTGCTATAAAAAATACATTTTACGTTTAATTTTTAATATTTTTCTGAACATATAAACACAAAAATTTTCCTGCGGAAATAAGCTGTTTTCATTTTCTATGGAAATTTATTAGACTTTAGAATAGCTGAAATCAGTTATATAAAAAATAAATATATTTTTGCCTTTTAGAAGCATTCACGAATTGAGGAAAATAACAATTTTCCTGCGGAAATAAACTGTATTCATTTTCTGAGAAAATTTAATAGACTTTAGAATAGTTGAAATCAGTAGTTTATAATATAAAAATAAATATATTTTTGCCTTTTAGAAGCGTTTTCAAACTCAGGAAAATAAAAAAGCGTTCTAGAAGACGTTAGGAGTACAAATATACAGTGAAATGCGTCATTTTCATTTTCCGGACTTTAGAATAGCCGAAATCTGTTACATTAAAACTAGCTTCTGGGATGTGTTTTAGTCATTTTTCTGGACATAAGAGCACAAAAAATTGTCTGCGGAAATTTTTGATTTTCATTTTATATAAAAAATGCTCTGCCTTTAGAATAGCCGAAATCAGTTACATTTACGCTAGTTGTTCTGTTGAATTTTTGACATATTTTTCACTATAAAAACACCAAAAGAAATGTGCGGAATAGCCGGGGAGGTTGGCACAGTAACCAAACCAAACCAAACCTAACCCCACCCAACACCCCTATTCGCTCCCGAGTCCCGTAAGCTTCTAAATGAAAAATATATGAAAAACAAAATGCACAAAATGACATTGACACATTTCCGCAGGATTTTTTTTTGTATTTCTATGCTCGTAAAGGCTCGTATAAAACAAATATAAGTTCATTTTTCATGTAACTGATTTCAGTTATTCTAAAGTCAAAGTATTTTTTTATGTAAAATAAAAATAAAAAATTTCCGCAGACACTTTTTTGTGTTTTTATGTTTAGAAAAATGTCTAAAACACACGCCGAGGACTCGTTTTGATGTAACAGATTTCGGCTATACTAAAGTCTGAAAAATGAAAATGACGCATTTCCGCAGGAAATTTTTTGTATATTTATACTCCTAACGCCTTCTAGAATGCATACATAAAGTTATTTTTTATATAACAGATTTCAGCTGAACGAAAGTTGAGCCAATATTTTTTGCAGGTTCTACGGCAAATATGCTTCGCGATACATTTTGGTCAGTGTAACTGTGAGTCACCTTGTACATCAAGAAAAATACAAAATATTGTTTATGAAATATTAAGTAACTTTATTTTTTATGACCGCCAATAGTAATAATTGCTATGCCACTTAATTAAATTCTTTTATAGACTAATAATAATCTACTTTATATAACTAACAACTAAATTACAATTTAGAGTAGTTAGTTCGAACATCGTCCGTAATAAACCATCGACCCCCGACCCTCAACATGTAATACATAAAGCGTTGGTATAACTAATTCACGTTAACAACGTACAGTAGGTAGGTATGTATATATGAGTTACTATGCCAAAGGCGGTTCTCTAAAGTAAGAAAAGATCGCATCTCAGGGGCTTAGATGTAGTGCTGTTTCAGATACACAATCGATCGGAAGTAGTACAGTTGTTCGAAGGCTTTTGACGCGGTTTTAAATCCAAATCCAACTTCTAGCTTAAGTAAAGCTATTTTACTACGTATTTATACTTCTTTTATGATAATGGATTTAATTCGTGTTATAGTTACAATATTGTTATATTTTGGAAGGAAATATTAACACGCTCCGCGCCAGGTAAGAAAATAATTTTATATAAAATGTAAGTTAAAATTCTATGAATTAATTATAACCAATATTTAAAATATATTAAAACCAAATAACCACGCTACAACATGATTTTTTTTATATTTGACGATACTGATTTTATACACCTTTACAAAAACAGTTTTTATTTATACGAAATAATATAGAAATAAACATAATAATTTTAAAAGCCATTTTTTTCATAAGTTATTATTTATATAGTTTTTTCTATGTTACATTATAAAGTATATTCATTTATTCATCACTACGTCTAAAATACAGGGTGAGTCTTAAATAATAGCAATATTTTCAGGGCTGGTAGATTTCGATAAAAGATACATATTTTCTCTATACCGTTTTTCCAATAAGTCTAAAATAACCGTGATATTTTAGTTAAAAAATAAAAAAAATGATTTTTCGCTGAAATTTTGAGAACCACTGGATCTTGTAAATTTGATTTACTACCTATGTTGCCATATTATGAAGATATTATGTTTTTTTAACTAAAAATTAAAAAAAAATACAAATTTACAATTTTTCCGCGAAAAAAGTCTCATAGGCGTATTTCTGATGTCGAAATATACTACCCCTAAAATTATTTGCACTTATTTAAAACTTACCCTGTATATACTTTTGATTTAAAGCTTTCAAAAACTATAAATTCTTATCTGCGAAGTTATAAATCTAATGTAGTTGTCTCGCCGGAGTTGAGTTATAAGAACACTTTTTGTATAAAAGAATAAGTACGAATAAAATTCGGAAGGATTTTGATAAATGAAGTGGGCCTTCCCTTCAAAATTATTTTCTAATACCTATAATAATCAAAATTAGCAGAGGGACAAAGAAAAATAGTAGTAAAATATTGGGGAGTAAAGAAATTATAGAAATAAGTGCAGTGCAGTCCATTTTTATTTTCATTTTTTCTAAATAATCTCCGAAGTAACGTCAATATTTGGATGAAAATTGGTGTCTGGTTAGGTTTTTTGAGTTTTTTGACATGAGAAATTTGATTTTGATGTCAATATGACTCCTACTTGTAGAGGGCGCCACCTACAGATTTTTTAACTAGTTTGAAGAGTAATAACTTTTCGTCCATACCTGTATAAAACTACTGGGTGAAAAAATATACATTTACGACGTTTTTTACGTAAAAAAGATCTCCCGGTAAAAATCGCTACGAGTAATGGTTCTCGAGATATTTGGAATCGAAATTATCAATACCTGTCGTCATTGACATAAATTAAACATGTTGACTAAATAGTAATTAAACTGAAATCATAAATTTGAAATGTTTTTGTGTCAAAAGTTCAACAGAAACTTTTTTGTCATCATTTTTTCAAAGAAAAATTTATGATAAATTTTAAAAAAAAGTTCTTTAAACATTTACTATTTCAGTCAAATAACTATATCTACTCAACATGTTTATTTTTTGTCAATAATGACATGTATTGACTATTTCCATTCTAAATATCTCGAGAACGGTTGCTCGTAGCCATTTTTACCAAGAGATATTTTTTACGTAAAAATCACGGAAATGTATATTTTTTCACCCAGTAGTTTTATACAGATACGGACGAACAGTTATTACTCTTAAAAACAGTTAAAACACATGTAGGTGGCGCCCCCTACAAATAGGAGTCATATTGATATCAAAATCACATTTCTCATGTCAAAAAACTCCCAGATACCATTTTTCATCCAAATATATTGACGTTACTTCAGAAATTATTTGGAAAAAAATCTAAATAAAAATGAAACTTCTACAGTACGTTTGTCCGTTCTGTAGCTACGGGGTATCCGTGAGAGGGGAAACGATATTCTCTCGATGTTTTTCGTAAAAAATTAAAGGACGCGTCCCATCAATAAAAATTCGACATATTTGCAAGTAGCCAATAAAATGAGTGGGCGGAGCGATTTGCGGTGACGTACTCGTCAAGTCGACGTATAAAATATATTGCTGTTTATTTAAATGTTTTTTGTCCGCATTCCTTTCATAGACACAGGTCCAGCAGACGCACTTTACACCCTGTAATATCTGACAAACGGATCTAAAACAGCAAGTGGAATTCGGGCAAAAAAAGTCGACGTTGTCACGTTTAATAATAGAAAAGCAAAGTTGCTCAATATTACCTATAAATTGAATATATTTTAGTTCATTTCAGCATACATAATTATATATATATATGCTAATATCTTGACGTTGTTCTTATTGTATTAATGTATATTTATCTAATTAACTGATCTCCTTCATTCTGCCTATTATAAAAGGTAAAGTATTTCCTAAAAATAACGTCCGCTTAGGGCAAGCTGGCAACGCTGACAAAATTCATCATGGCATCCCGGATTCAACCAATCTGATTTGGTCGAGATTCTCGCACGTCTTGCCGCCATTACTCCCAACTTTATGTCCCTCTCTAGGAATAGTAGAAACAGCCACTACTACTGAAAAATCCAGTGGCGGTGTATTATATTGTGTTTTATGCTTTTAATTTGATTTCTGCTTGTTGTAATTAGTACACGCGTTTTAACAAATATTACTATATTTGGCAAATGACTAAACAAAATGTGGGTACATTTAAAGTAAAATAATATTATAAACTTTACTGGAAAATATTATAAAAATTCCTGATATAATTTTATGAAACACCGCACGCTCCTGGATATTTTATGAATGAAATCGGTCATGATTTCACAAAATTGCGATCCCCTTACCGTTGCCCCGTTGTTTCAGATCCGTTTGTCAGACTGTATCTCCGAAAGTAAGCCTTTTAAAAGAACATTTTTATTTATTTTTATCTGCAGAATATGCTGCCGAAGTTTCCGGAATACAGTTCGGACCACCCTGTGTATTATTATTGTTTTACTGAAAAAAAACAATTAGATTTATGATATCCGCACACTAAATTTTAACTTTTTAATGTGAGCCATTTATAAAAAAGTTGGTAAGGATTTGACATTGTAGAAGAAAATAAATTTGTATGATGATAAAAATATAAGAAACTACATGTGTTTTCATGTGATTCAGTGCAAATTAAATGGGCAATCCCACATTGATCAGTCGCGAGCGTAAAAACAGATTTAGGCTCGTTTAGTCACAATCCGACTGATTGACGCCGATCGCTGTGTCGTCGTGTTATGATATAACATTTTTACTCACTACATGAATTTGCATCTGCTGCCGTGCATATTTAACTGTAAATAAAACATTTTGCTTCACTTCGAAACATATTGTCTTTATAAAAGACAAAAACGTTTTTACCCGATATAAAACCGTTGCGCTCTTTCTGTGTCCTGTGTGCACCCAGCCTTAGGTACACCATACATATTATAAGAAACGGTTTATAGGTTTCAATTCATTTATAGTTCCATTTTAAAGTGGAGTATCTGAATAATGTTGCAATAACAAATTCAAATATTCAATCTATATTTTTTTTTATTTTAATGCAATATAATGTATAATAATATACGTTTATACAGAATGTTCCTGGCTGGGCTTGCATTATAAGTTTTTAGAGCTTCTATCTAAAAATACGAAACTGTGTGATTGAGTTCTCTACAAGTTATGAACTTTCTCTAAATTAAATTCGTTGTTTATTTGAATCACTAGGTAATTTATTATTTAAAATAATTAACCATAGAACTATGAATCAACCATATTAAAATACATGTTTTTTCAGTTTCTAGCTACATAATAGGCCGCCCATATACAGGGTGAGTCTTAAATGAATGCAAGTATTTTTAGTGGTAGTATGTCAGAATGCCAGGCGCCCAACCTTTTTAGTTTTAGTATATTTAATTAGTTTTTTGTGGTAAAATATTAACGAACTTACAACCCAGCTCTCCGAATGGGTTGCTGGGTTATACAGCAGGGTAATAATATAGTTTTTTAAACAATATTTTTTTATTAAATAAATCTGCTGGAGTATTGTGATAAGCTAGTTTTATTTTGCATTTGTAACACCAAAGATTCCAACCTCAACTGTAATAATTACGATGGATTACTGTTACTATTAGTTGAAAACATAGCCAAGAATCAGGTTTATCTACAGTCATTCTTACGGAAAGAAATTACGAATTTTTTTTTGAAATAAGCCTACCTATATTGAAAAGCCTGTTTTATTTTTCTCACACTATTATTTGTTCTAATTGCTAACTCTGATGATTAGGCTATACCTACTACTACATTTCTTTGACAAATTCATCGAATTTGAAGCGAACAATATGATATACAATATTTGATTTACATACACAATATATACCCAATAAAATATTAACTACTAACTAAAATAATTATTCAAAAACCGTAGAAACTGAGTGCTATACATTTATTAATAAAATCTGATTTGTTAGTATTTGTGCTTCAAGTATAATTTTTGAGAGTTTAATTTCAAACTCTAGTAAACTTCAAGTGTTTTTTTTAATATGTAATTTAACTGCAATAATGAAATATGTTGATTACTGTAAAACTTTTAAAGTATTATCGAATACCTTTTTTGTTTATACGCTTCTCTTTGTTACAAATCAAACAAAGGTGTGTCAAAACAACTGTGTCAAGGTTATCATATGACAATAATATTGTTTGTAATCAAGTTATTTTTAACTATTTTTTTAATTATTTTAAGGTTTGTAATGGTTACTAAGTACATGTTAATTTCTATGTAGTCTGAAATACTTCGTTTTAAAATATGTATCATTTCAATTGTAAAAATGTTTATTTTGTGAATTTTAACAATCTGGACAGTTTTAATGATGATTTTACTGTATAAAGCACTTGAAATTGTTACTAGGCATAAGTCATAAATGTAAAATAATGTAGATTGCAAAATAAAACACTAATTCACCACAATACACCAAAGCACTTCTACTTTTGCACTGGACGCGAAAGTTCCATCAAAGATTCCAACCCTCAACTGTACTATTGTTGGTTTTATATTGGATATAATAGACGAAATATCCCGATTATTTTTATTATAGGTACTTATATTAGTGAA